GATTGGACTATTAAACTTCCATGTGGGAACTTTGATCGCTCTCCCATCTGTAAGGGATGAAGAACCCATGCTCCTGCCTCAGGAGATCCCAACTTAGCCTTTCTGCAGGAGAAGGGAAAGTCAACACTTGGGCTGAACTAGCACAGGGGGGCGTTATTCCTTTACCAGAAGAGGGGACACCAGAGACCTGTCTGGTGGCGCTTTGTTTCCCTTGAGGCATCTGGTGTAGAGCAGCTTCCCTGGTGTATACTGGCACAGCTGATAATGTGATACTCCTTTTTCTACAGGGGTACCGACGAGCTCCTGGGAGTGATGGACAAAGTCACCATCATCAACTCCACCCTAGGAAAAGCTCTTGGAGGAGCTGCAGGTGAAAGCATTTCCCTAAGGACCTCCACACTCTAAAGAGCTCCACAGCATTGCTTTGATGTTTCCTTCCTCTGTCTAATGACAGCAACAAATGCATGTTGTCCTCTTCTGCTGGTGGCATGAGGCTCAGTTTGGGACCTCGCTGCAGGCTCAAGGGTGGTCCTGCCACGTGCTCCTTTTACTGTCATCTTCCCTATGCATTTGCCTTTGGGGTCAAGGTGGAAACTCTTGGTAAAAGGTATCAGCTGGGATTATTTTTTTTAGGCCTGGTTTGTACTGAAATTCTTGCTGCAGGTCGGCTTTATCAAGGGGGTTCCCTCTGAACAGGTCACCCTGGGGTGCCTTGTCCATTTCTCTGTCCTCCATCTGCAGGCGGATACACAACCGGCCCCAAACCCCTCATCGATTTGCTCCGCCAGCGTTCCCGCCCATACCTCTTCTCCAACAGCTTGCCCCCCGCTGTGGTGGGCTGTGCATCCAAGGCCCTGGACCTCCTCATGGAGAGCAATGCCATTGCACAGTCCATGGCTGCCAAGACCCAACGGTGAGTGGGCCATATTGGGGTGGGGACGGGGGGAGAGGTTTGTTAGGAATGAATTGTCCATATGTGTTTATTCACCCCCCGGTGATAGCCATGAAGGCAATTTGCAAGTCGTGGCTGGGGGATGCTCAGGGGAAACCACAGGATGTGCCTCTGTGTGTCAGACAGATATGTGGGTTGATGTGTCACAGCTGGATGCTCTGCAAGCTGAGACACATCTGCCTCTCAAGCAGCTGCAGTCCCCCTGGCATTGAGCAGGAAATGGCAAAAGGTCACTCCAAAAAGAGAGATCCCTTCCCTGCACAGGAGGTGCACGGGCTGCCAGGGGAAAGCAAGGCAGCGGTCCCCAAGGACAGGAGTGACGAGGTTTTACTCATCCTCTTGTTCTCTCCACCAGGTTCAGAAGCAAGATGACGGCAGCTGGCTTCACCATCTCGGGCAAAGACCACCCCATCTGTCCTGTCATGCTCGGGGACGCCCGGCTGGCTTCAGTGATGGCTGAGGATATGCTGAACAGAGGTGAACCAGGGAGGGAGCTCTGGATGCAGACATATGCCTTGAGGGAAGGGACAGCCTCCAGGGGATGTTCCTGCATGAAATCTGTATTTTCTGTCCTGCCCAGCTGCAAATTTCCTTGTGGTCTCCCACAGATGCTCCTGGCTTCACCTCCTCTCTCTTTTGGGGTGGGGAGGGGTTTACATTAGCCCTCTTGCCCTGCCATGCTGCACTCCATCCCCATCCCTGGCCCTAACCTTCATTTCCATGCTTGGGAGCAGATTCCACTTGAAAACCCTGAAGCCTGGAAATGGTTATTGAGAGGGGAGTGAGGATCCAAAAGCCTTTCTCTGTCACCCAGTACCACCTCAGCTCCCTTCCCTCTAGCCAGCTCTGACTCTCCGTGCGTTTCGTCCCCAGGCATTTATGTCATTGGCTTCAGCTACCCCGTGGTCCCCAAGGGAAAGGCCCGCATCCGGGTCCAGATCTCGGCCGTGCACAGTGACGAGGACATCGACCGCTGCGTGGAAGCCTTCACTGAGGTGGGGCGGAAACACGGAGCACTGCCTTGAGGGGCCAGCAAACACCTCCTCTGGTGTCCTCCCTGCCCACAACCCAAGTGCCTGTGCCAGGGGAAAAGTCTTGAGCAGCACGCTGCCAAAAGCAGGACCAGTCTTCAAGATGTCTCAGCCTGTGGAAAGCTGTGGCTGTTGCAGCATGCTGGCAGCGGCGCTGGCAATCAGCTCTTGTGTCATTAAAGGTGTCCTGCAATGCAGCAGATATATGTCCGGCTGTTGTTTTCTCAGCCGGGAACTGCAGCCCGTCCCCATCCTCTCTTGCCGTGACCGGACATTCTGCTGTGTCTTCCCTAAAGCTTCGGTCCAGGCACTGAAGTGCTGCCGGTCCTGCAGTCTCCTGCCAATGGTTGCTGGTAAGCCTGAGGTCTCCTGCTTCCTCCACCTCTCCTGTGGCTCCAGCAGTGTCACCCCGGGAGATCTGCTTGCTGTAATTCCCCACTGAGGCAGGGGGGGTTCCCAAGCTCTTGGCAACCTCTGCCACCAGCAGCTGGTTTGAGGAAGAGGGCAATGGGCTGGCGAAAGCTCCAGTCCTCCTTTCTCCCCTTCCCACTCTTGGGTGTTGGGTGTGAGTCTTGCTTGGTCCCCAGGGCTGGCTCTAAGGCTTTGCCCATCACTGTAGTGCTCCCAAACCTGCCCTGGGAGTTGCAGCTCGCCCCAGAGAAGCTGCCGGGCAGTGGGGCAAGCTGAGGCGGCAGCGGTCAGTAGCCTGGTAAGAGGGCCTGCATCTGTCTGGGGCTGAGGCCGGGGTCTGAGCAGGTGACAGAAACCTGTAATTTTCCTCCATCACCTGCAATTTTCACACAGCAGAGAACACGCAGCAGGCTGGGATCTCTGGATTTGTTCCTCTGAGCCGTGCTGGGCTAGCGATTTAGCACTCGAGCAGGAACAAGTGGGTCCTGGGCGTCTCTCAGGATTGCTTTGTTTGCATCGGTCCTGCTCTAGATGAGAAATCATGTGTCTCCTGCCGTCTGCCCACGTGCCGAACTGGATACCAGCTGCCTGCAGCCGGGGACAGGCAGACTCCAGGCGAAGTGAGGCTGTGCTGTGCTTGGGTGCCAGAGCACTGGGTCACAACAGCAACGACCTGCTCTGAAAAATGCAGTGAGGGAGCAAGCTACGAAGGCGATAACACACCTGACCTGAACCAGAGCAACTGCTGAGGAATAGAGTAGTTAATTCAGGGTTGCAGCACTTTCTGTGCTACGGAGGGCAGGGGAGAAATGTATTTTCTGTGGGGCTGCCGCCAGACCTTGTCAGAGCACCTGGTAGCTGAACTGTGTGCCAATTTTATTTAATTTTCCACCTCCACAGGAAGCCAAGCTCAGCCTACTGATAAAGTATGATATGGAGTTCCCTCTGCATGGCATCAGGCCCTCATGGTGCTACAAACCCTCTTCCTTCCCCACTCCTTATCAATGGGCAGTATTTTGGGAATAGGGAATCTAACGGGGAAAGAGCAGGGGGTTGTGCTCAGGCCCCTCTTGCAGCCTGGAGGAGATGAAGCTTCATCCAGACGGACACTTGTACAGGGGGGTTGAGTCCCTGCACCGAATCACTGCTGTTGGAGCCCGATGCGCTTGCAGCCCTTGCTCCCCACTACTTGCGCACCTCCATTGTACACCTGTTCCGTCCTGCCCATGTCTCTTGCTCTGCTCAGGGCAGCCAACCCAAGCAGCTTAACCCTGCTCCAGCTTTCAAGTGCCTCCTCCATGGGACAGCAGCCTACGCAGACCTCTCGCTGCTCCGCCACAAGCAAGAGCAGCAGCAGCCTCCTTCCCCTGCGATGCACACACTTGTTTTAGCGTGCACGCCTGTGCTTCCCCCCTTCTCTTCCTCCTCCTCCTCTCCTCACCAGGTGCCCTGACCTCCCTCTCCCCTCCGCCTCTCCCAGGCCCCCTCAGCAGCTGACCCCCCTCTCCGGCTGCCTCTCCGCCTGCTTCAAGGCCGAGCTCTGCAGCAGACTGCGGTTTGCACGGTGGCACAGTGAGTGCCGGAGCCCGGGGAAGAGAAGAGGGTCAGGCGATGGCACACTGGAAATGAATAATGCAGCACCCATCGACTGCAGGCGCCGTGTTAATATTGCATTCCCAGGCAAAGCCTCCAGCTCTTTTATTTCTTCAAGGCTTCCCAACCCAGGTCTGATCTGCAGCTCTTTGCAGCTTTTAGCCGAAAGAGCAGAGGACTTTTTGCTGGGTGGGATGTAGAAGCAGACACCCCTTTTTGAGGATGCAGTTCCCACGCTGGGGCTCGCCGACCCACCCCAGATCCCTATGCTGATCTGCCATGTCCCTCCTGTCCCCAGCCATTACCCTCTCCACCATGTGGGGTAGGAGTGGGAGCCCCATGTCTCTCCCATTGTACTTCCAAGTAGGGGACTGTCCTGTCCCATCCCATTTCCATAGACACCCACCCCCACGGATGCTTCCAGCCCTGAGTCTCTGCTGTCCCCACGACTTCCTTCACCTGCCCGGATGAATAACCCTCACCGGGCTGTCCCCTCACAGCCCCAGACCTGCCCCCCTTCCCACCGACGCTTTCCAGCCCCTCTTCAAGCTGTGGTTTCCACCCTGAGGTGCCACCCACCTTCCCCTGACCCTTCCCAGCCGGTGTCCCTCTGACCTTTCTCTCTGCCCGCAGGGATGCCCCGGCTCAGACTGAGCCTGCTGGGGCAAATGTGAACAGGGTCTGAACTTGCCGTTGGGTGCTGTGATTTTCCCACCCCATGTCCTTCGCCGGAGATAAATGCCACGCAAGGGCCCCCACTGGTGCAACTTCCCCGCGCCGGCAGGCAAGGGGGCGAAGGAGCTGTGTCCCTCCCCACACACCCAGGGGCTTCGACGAGAAACAACAATGCCCGCAGTCACTCCCCGCTTCCTTCTGGTGGTTTATTTCTCCAGTTGGGACCCCCCCTCTCCCCAGCCCTGGGGCAGCATCCAGGTGGCTGCTGGCTTCTTCAGGCCATCAGGCTGCAGGAACAGGTTCTGGGAGTGGGGGGTGTGTGTACCTCCACAGCCCCCTCAGCGGCAGGAGCACTTGCAGGCAGCCACGACGGGGTAGGGGACCTGCCGCCAGGCGCAGTGTGGGGGTCCGGGGGACCGGGGCGCCCAGCAGTGCCAGGCCAGCAGCTTGATGTGGGTGATGTGCGCGGGGCGGCACATCATGCCAGGGGGCCAGGAGCATCCGGGCGGTCCGGTCTGGCAGGCGGTGTGGCGCACCCAGCGGGGCCAGAAGACGGGTCCCAGGTCAACCCAGGCGGAGGTCAGGCGGCAGGAGGCCCGCTCCACCAGCCACTGCCGCAGGTGGCGGGCCAGGGTCCCCAGCAGCTCGGGGGGCAGCCCCAGGCTGGGGGTCAGCAGGGCGGGCAGCTCCAGCCCCTCCACCTCCCGCCACAGTTTGCGGCGGTACCTCCCGGCCCCTTCTGCCAGGTCCCGGCTCAGGGACTCCAGGTTCTCCTCGGGGACGCTGCCGTTGCGGCCGTGGGGCTCCTCGGTTGCCATCCAGAAGGGGTCGAAGGCCAAGCCCAGCAGCCGGCGCAGCCGCCCGGGGCGGAGGTGCCGGGGCTTGGGGGAGTATCGGTAGTCCTCAGGGGAGAGGGAGAGGCTGTAGGGCCGCACTGGGGCTGAGGGGCGGCCGCGCAGCAGGTGGGCGGCAGGGTCAGGGGTGCCGGATGGCGGCAGCAGTGGCTCCCGGGGTTCCTCCGGTGGTGGCGGTGGTGGGCCCGGGGTGCCCAGTGGTGGTAGCAGGCAGAGGAGGAGGAAGAGGAGGAGGAGGCAGCCACGGTGGGGTCCCCCCATGGCGAAGCGGCGGCGTGGCGTGCTGTGCCAGGCTGAGGGTTCTCGCTTCGCCGCATCCCCCGGGTTATCACCGCATCCCCAGGCACGGCCTTCCCCTTTCCCCTGGTTAGGGCGGCTGATAGTGAGACGGCCGCTCCCAGGCGGGGAGGGGAGGATGCACCATCCCTCCTCAGGTCGAGGAGTGCCCCCGGCGGTGCCATTGGGGTTTCGGTGGAGGGGAAGGGGCCAGCGCCTCCCTCCTCCTCCTCCACATCCCGCCCCATCGTTGGAAGAGGCATCCAGGACCTTCCCAGTGAAGGGAAGGTGGTGGACTTTGGGTCTTGCTGGGAAAGGAACACCAAGTTGGGCTCGGCCTCAGTGCATCTGGAAGTCCGCAGGGGTGGATGTGGTGGCAGGGCAGTGGTGTGGGAGGACCCCATGGGTCACTGTCACCTCCCAGCATGTCAGCCGTGCTGTCCTGGGTAGTGGTGAGGGAGCTGAACCTCTGGAGATGGCCTCCCTGGACGGCTTGTCCTCCCTCCCCACACTGCAGTGCCCTGGCAATGCTGGTGGAGGAGACCTGGGCTGGATGGACACCAAAACCTGCTTTGCCCTTCTTCCCTGGGTCAGACATTGTGGGAGAGACTCGATCTGCTCTGTGCCATGCTACTAACAGCTCATTAATAACAGCTAGTAATAGCAATTAATTGCTTGTGCTCCAGAAGGTTTAGACCCATATCCCGAAGATGGGGCAGGGTCCAGGCTCACCATGGTGGGATATTCATGTTCCCTGGAGGTGCTGGGCAACACGTCCTGAACACCCAGCATCGATGGGTGCCCACCGGGCCCTGTGGGACCCTGTCCCCTTCCACCCTCCCACTGGAAAGCGTTAGGCTTTTTCTCGGCTGCCCTCTCCTCGCTGGAGCAGGGAGCATCTGCGGGAAGGCTGGGCAGAGAGGAGTTAACTCCAAACCCAACCTCAGAGAGAGGGGAAAAAAAAAAAAACAGAGATCAATGGATCAGCAGCTAGAGCAGAGGGAGGGAAAAGGGGGAGACAGAGAGAGAGGAGAGGAGCTCCAGGAGAGAGGCGAGTGTAGGAGACAGAAGAAGAGAGAGCAGAGCTGGCAGCGGGTGGCAGCGGAGCACCAGGCAGGGGTGACAGCGCGGCCCCAGACAAACTCTTCGTTAGCCTGTGTTCTCCTCGCTGCTGCTGCCCAGGCTGGGTCGGAGGTCTCCACTGAGCAAGCGGTGAAGCTGCAGGCCCTTCCTCACAGAGGTGAGTGCCGGCTTCCCACACAAGGGGTGGCCTCAGGCTCCCTGAGCAGGGACACAACAGTGCCCAGAGATACCACACTGCCTATGTGTGAGTGTGTGCCCAGAGGGCAACCAGGGTCCTCTGCTCCATCGAGGAGATCCCATGGGGCCAGGATGGAAAAGCCAGATAGTTACCAGTAGGACAAAAGGGACCGCAGAGCCAAAGAGGCAGGGACAACCTTTCAGTGCAATACAGAGACCGCTGGGAAGAAGTGCATGAGCTGAAGGATGGAGGAGCGTGGGGCGAAGGAGCTTGCATGACCCAAAAAAGAGTTAATTGCATGTCAACAGTTGCTAGATAACAGTGTCTTTCCGTCTTGGTTGCTGCTCAGTGAAGGACAATTTGTTCTAATGATAGCACAACACAGGGAAGGCTCATTAGGAGATAGGCTGTTGGTGCTCCCTGCCTCAGTGCAGTGTTACTCAGGGCTGGAGGAAGTTTTGCTGCAAACCACAGTACCTTGATCTGTGCTAATAATTACACTCTATCACAATGATCACCGTGTTGTGTTTCAGGCAGCTCTGAGATCTCCCCCTCTTTTCTAGCCACCACCATCCAGGCTGTGACCACCTCTCAGCATCAGGAAGAGCTGCTCCGAGTCACCTCTCCTCTGTGGAGCATAACTACTGTAAACGGAGCAAGGGGCAGCCAGCTCTGGGGTGGAGGTGGTCCCAGCTTAAGGAGCTCCCTTGAGGTGGGAGTGTGGTGGGGTGCTGCTGCTGTGGGGTGTCACTCAGGCATCAGGTCCCTGCTGCCAGAGGTGTCACAGCCCCGAGGTGAGGGTGGCAGGATCGGTCACAGCCCACGGGAGCCCCCTTCCCCACAGCCTCGTGGCTGAACCCTGTTGAACACCAGCCAGGATTTAGGCTTGCTGAAGCAAGCAATCCCAAGAGGTTTAGCAGCTTTGGGATTGTAGGAGGAATGTAGGGGAGGCCAGGTGGCAGGGCAGGGGATCCTTCAGGGGGCTGGGAGCACAGGAGTTGCCGTGGTGGGGACGTGAATGTGGGCAGGAGAAAGGGGCTTCGTCTCCACTCGTGCCAGGCAGATGTGGGCTGACTGATCCCAGTGGCATTCTTGCCAGCAACGTCATGAGGATCTTGATGTCATCATTTAACCGGCCAGTTGGGATTGGCATCTCTGGGAGAAACGAGGGCATCAGACAAAGGCTGGGATCAGACACCTTAGGGCCAGAGCTCTGGTGGCCACTGCAGTCAACACTGAGCAGCACCTGCTTGCCTACAGCCATGCACAGGTGCTGTGTCTCCCATTGTCCCCACGCAGGTTCCCGCAGTTAGATGGGGAGATGCCGGGAGGCTGGAACGCCTCCTCTGACAGCCCAGAGCTGCGAGCTGCAGGGATTATTGTGCCCGTCATCTTCTCTTTCATCTTCCTCCTGGGGACTGTGGGGAACGGGCTGGTGCTGGCCGTGCTGCTGCGGAATAGACAAATCAAGTACAATACCACCAACCTCTTCATCCTTAACCTGGCCATGGCTGACCTGTGCTTCATCGTCTGCTGCGTCCCCTTCCAGGCTACCATTTATACCCTGGATGGATGGCTGTTTGGGGCGTTTGCCTGCAAGGCTGTGCATTTCCTGATCTACCTCACCATGTATGCCAGCAGCTTCACGCTGGCTGCCGTCTCCATTGACAGGCAAGTGTCCCCTCCACTTTGAGTCCTTCAGCTCAGGGACAAAGTGTTTGCTACCCTTGAGAAGAGGGGTGGGAGAAAGGCCGGTCCTTACCCTGTTGAGACTCCTGTAAGAAGCAGGTAGGGTCTCCCCAGAGGCAGGGCCAGCAAAGCCAACCTCCCCATCTTGCTGTGCCCTCTCCCAGCATCAAGCCAAACTCTCGGCCTGGTTACCCAGCCCTCACTTGGGAAGGAGGAGTGTAGGCATATGCTGAGGCTTGGTGTCCACCATGCAAAACCAAGAATGGCAAAGCCCCAGGGCAGCAACACACCAGAGGAGAAAGAGGGAGCCCTCTAGGTCCTGCTCCTGTCCTTGTCTTCCCTGGTTCAAGAGGCACTCTGCTTGCTCTTCCCGAGCTAGCACAGCAGAGCGGGTGATGGAGATCCCAGACCCACTTTTGGGATGACCAGTGAGTTCACTGTAACCCTCCCTCCCAAGAGGTGAGGAGAGGGAGGGATGGATGGCTGCATGGGCAGGGATCCACAGACAGCAGCTCCACAGGGCAGGAGAGGTATCTCATCTCACCCACACAGTGTTTGGTTTCTCATTCTCCTCCCCTGTCCCACCAGGTACCTGGCCATTCGCTATCCACTGAAGTCCCGGGATCTCCGCACCTCCCGAAACGCAGGAATGGCCATTTTAGCAATCTGGTCGCTGTCGCTGTTCTTCGCAGGGCCTTACCTCAGTTACTACCAGATTGTCCATTACCACAGGGTGCCTATCTGCGTCCCCATCTGGGAGGACCAGCGACGAAAGATTCTGGACATCCTCACATTTGTCTTTGGATACCTCCTGCCCGTGATCGTGGTGAGCCTGGCATATGCCAGGACCATCAAGTTCCTGTGGACCTCCATAGACCCCATAGAAAGGATCTCGGAGTCCCGGAAGGCCAAGTGTAAGGTCACCAAGATGATTGTGGCTGTGGCCATCCTGTTCTGTCTCTGCTGGCTGCCCCACCACCTGGTCATCCTGTGCTTCTGGTTTGGCCACTTCCCCTTCAACCGAGCCACTTATGCTTGCCGCCTGGCTTCCCACTGCCTTTCGTATGCCAACTCCTGCCTCAACCCCATTGTCTACGCCCTCATCTCCAAGCATTTCCGCAAGCGTTTCAAGCAGGTCTTCACCTGCCTCTTCTTCCAGAACAAGACCAGGAAGAAGAAGAAGAGAGTTGGAAAAAAAGTCCACGTGGTCCACGTGGGCAAAGGTCTCACCAACAGCACCAGAGGTTTCTATGGAGGCAACACTGAGGTGACCCACGTCCCAGAGGAGAACACCAGGAAGAGGCACCCTGAAGGTGCCAGTTATGATGCCAGAGCATGGACTCACCAGCTACAAGATGCTATGGTCTCTGTGCAGAAGGAGCTGCTGGAGGAGAAAAGTTTGGCAACAGCTGGCCATCCTCTAGCCATGACACCTACAAGAGGAACTGAGGAGTTTCTGACTGTTCATTACAGATGAGCAAAGTGAAGAAGCCTGTTTTCTAGCCTGTGAGTAGCCACTCCATTCCCAAACAGGCAGAATAATGTGCGGCAGAGGGGAACGGACAGCAGAGCCACCGAAACCTCCTGTGGCAACAGTTAATCAATTGTCCCCACTCACCTTCACTCCCTGGCCCACAGCATTCGTCTAAGAATGGCACAATCCACCCACAGAAATGCAGCGTGGAGGGACACTTTAA